CGGGTTTATAATTCTTAAAGTTTTTTCAAAAAAGCTTCTTTAACACTGGGGTATCATTTGCTACTTTTTTTCTCCTTTGTGACTTCTGTTTCAAGCTCTGATGGACAGATACTGCGGTATAAAATTCTTGATGTTTTCGTCTTTTTTTTTCTCCCCAAAGGTTTCTTCAGATGGGAATTCCCCACAGCCAGTGGCTTCTGCTCCGGTCGAGTGGCAGCAGTAGGTCCTTCTATCCAGTCCTCTGCTATGCCATGTATTGCTTCCAGACCTGAACTTTGGGTGAAAGCAGCATTCTCAGGTGGGACACGAGCCTCGCCGGGCAGGGGAGGGTCTGCTAAAATCACAAACTCTGCCCAGCGTGGGAGATGGGAACTGTTCACAAGCTAAAGGTCCTGCAGGTAAGAGCTTACAATTAATAGTTCTTATACGGATGTGTTTTGGTTCACTTCACAGCTCTGTTTTGGTGTTTTGGGTTTTTTTTCTATTTGTTTTTAAAGCAAAGACTTATTTGCAATGTGGGTCTCACTACTTGCAATCATTTTTTTCTCTGCCAGTGAATACGTTTGATAAGCACTGAGGTTCTACGATTCAGTTGTTCTAAATTAAGGAATTCTCTTAGTGAGCAATTTGAGTTGTTAGACAGCGCAGACTGCAGAAGCATTTTTCGGTAAACGGATTGTTTTTTAGTTTATTTTAAAGCTCTCCTAAAAACTCTACACCGGCGTGTGTTCGCTGGACCTGCCAGGGGGCTGCAGGGAGAAGCAGCTGGGGGGGGTTTGCTCTCTGCCCCTTTCCCACCTTCCCCTCAATTCCCTGGGACTCCAGGGAATCCCAGCTCCCCTTGGCTTTTCTGGGGGCCTCACAGAAGGGTTTCTAAGTGTGGCCCTGAGATTTTATGGCCTTGGAACTGGTGGCTGTTTCAGGGCACGTCTCACTGGGCAGTCTGTCTTTTAACAGTTCCTGGGGCAGGAGAATTGCAGCAGAAGAAAGCAAAGGAAGCCCAGAGCCAGGACTAGGCAGGCCCGGGCCTCTGGCGAGCCCAGGTCTTGCTGCTCGGTGCCGATTGTGCCCGGGGCTTGTTCCTCACCGTTCAGTTCCAAATGAGAGGGGAGCAAGAGGCAGAACAGCCCACTGCTGCTGGGGCTGAGCTGTCTGCAGTGCCCGGGGGCCGGGCAGGACTTGGCCCCGGTGCCTGCATTGCTCTGCAGCGACCAGGGAGGGGTCCCAAAAGTCATCCCCCCGCGTGCTGTGCTGCACAGCAGGGGCTGGCTGGGCCGGTTCCCAGATGGGGGACCCCAGGGAAGGCCATGCTGGGGCTGAGGGGCTGCTGCTCTCTGGGCCTCTCGGGGTTTGCCTTGGAATCCCAAAGCCTGTGCCTGCGTAGGGAGATGAGACAAAGGTGACTCTAAATTGGTTTCTTGTGGAGTGTTTAGGGGCCGAGTTAATGCTCTTGGCTTGTTGTGTGTCAATTCCCAGCCTCGGTCAGGGCTTCCTGGGGAGCGTTGCTGCTGCTGCTGCTGCTGCTGCTACCGGGAGGGAGAAGTCCTTTGGGAAGCTGGGCTAGAAACAGCAACTCTGTGAATCGCTCAGCTTTTCCTAGGCAAGGGCAGGTTTTAGGGAAGAAAGGCCCGTACGCGCCAAAGGCGTCGCGGGTCTCGCCAAGGGCGGGGGACGGGGGGGGGCGCGGCTGCAGCGCCGCGCGGGGCTGCAGTGCCGCTCCCGGCCGTGTCCGCCAGGCGGCGACTGTGAGGCAGGGCCCGGCGCTCGGGGGCGCTCCTGCAAGCGACGCCCGGGGCAAAGCGGCACTGATGGCTCGCTGCCGGCCTTCCCCCGCAGTGCCCGGGCTGGCCCAGCACCTGGCCAAACCTCTTGGGGAAAAGGCAAGGAACAGCTGCGC